GAGCCTGAGCCCGGCGCCGCTGCAGGTAGGTGCGGGGCGGTGCGGTGGGGTACGGGGCGCAAGGGTCACCTGGGCGGGTGGTGGGGGGATCCGGATCAGCCCCTTCCCACGCGTGTCACGCGTGGGGGGACGGATCACCTGGGAATGAGGGAGGGGACCGGGTCGTGGGGATGAATGGGGGGAGCTGATGGGAACGGCTCAACTGGAGACACCCGGGGCTAAGCTGATGACACGGGGGAGCTGCTGCCCCGTGTGGGCAGGGGCCCACGCCCTGCGCCCCTGGAAAGAAAGGGAGAAGGGACGGGGCTGAGAGGAAGCCCCAGGGGCGAAGGCGCCTGCACAGGGCTGGCGGGGGTCTGCAGGGACCAGCTAGCGCAGGGTGAGCTGCAAGGGGGGGGCGCATGATTGCTCCCATGCGTCCTTCCCGCATGGTCTGATCGGCTCTGGGACACTGTCCCTGCCGCCCCTGCCCCGGCCCGGTCCTGTTCGCTCACCTTCCCAGGCAGGGGCAGATCTGCGGGTCGGACCCCTTGGCCAGAAGCAGCCCATCCTGTCCCTCCTTCCCTCCCTTCCTCCCTCCCAGGCGCTGTCAGTTTGAGGGCAGATGTCTCAAGCTTCTGGATGGTCAGAGGAAAGGGGGTGGGATGGGATCCTCCTCCTATATAGGGCTTGAGCTGAGCAGTGGTGATGGGATCTACTGGGTCACATCAGACAAGCAGCTCCCTGGCACCTAGGACTGCACCTTTCTCACTCAAGTGGGACTGGGAGGTAGGAGCATGGCCCCACCTTGAGCTGCTGGTTTACCTTGGGGAAGCCTGGGCTGCGCTTGGACGCGGTCCCCTCTCCTGGCGTGAGCTGCCTCTGCTTCCTCACTGGACACTGTTTAGGAACAGAATAGCAACTATCGAAGCAACTTTTGGGCAAGATCTCTAGCCTGTGCAGGTTATAGGCATTTCTGGATTGCTTCCTTCCCCTTCCACTGGAGAGCTGTCCTGTATGATGGGAGTACCAGGATATATTATATACCCTTCCACATCTAGGTCTCTCTCACTTAGCTTGATGCAAACTCATGCCTTGGGCAGAGAATCTGTATTTAAAAAAACAACAACCCAACAAACCCAAAACCTGAGCCAGCTCCAAATCAGAAACCCTCCAACAACCTCTTTTACCACCTTAAGAACTTGTGGTGCAAATTTGTAAGCTAATGGTAATGTGTAATTATTTGCTTTGTTGGATGCTGTACATGGATTGTTGTATGTCCTGGGGGCATAGAGCATTTAAAGCAGGGAGTTTACAAGAGTGAGGAATTCAGACAGTGTTTAGAGAGTGAGAGTTTTAGGAGGAGAACAGCGTGTGATTACTGTAAACCTGATCTACCTTGATTTTTTTTTTTCTCCCCCTTCACAAATACGATAGTGGCTAAGGAATAGTCAGGAGTCTGAATGACTTCATGCAGTTTTGCTTTAGGACCCACCTTTGATGCAAAAGTGGTTCTTGAAAGTGAAGGAAAATGAATTGCTGCCGAGGGGGGGAGGATAAAAGTATACACTGAAGACAGTCTACAAAGCTGTAGCCACTGTGTTCAAGGCGATGAAGCTACAAGGCAAAGTTTTCTGTACTGTGGGTGGGACGGAAACATTCCTTTTTTTTTCCTCCCCAAGCTCCTCCACAAATTTTTAACCTGAAGTCTTGTTTTATGGCCACTCGGTAGTTTTTGTTTGTCTTCCAGACTGGTTTCAGTACAGAATACCAAAGAAATATGCATTTAAGTGTAAACTTAGAAGAGCTCACTGGCCTCTGTGGGTTCTTGATTTATATCAGGCAGGAGCAAAAGACTAGGGGTAGAGCAAAGTTTTTACATGCTGAACGCCAAGGAATGAATTATAAATACTTAGCTGCTTTATTTGCTGTTTCTAATTTTGTCTGCTCCACTGGCATAATTAAAAAAAAAAAAAAAAATTTAAGTCTGTAAAATTTTGAGGGATTTGGGGGAAAATTCCTTATTTTTCATTTTTCTTTTTCTTTCCCCCTCCCCAGGTTTGAAAGAACAGGAATCTGTACGGCACACAAGAATCGGGCTTTCAAAATGGAATTCCAGTTTGCCCTCCTTTTCGTAGGGATAATTGCCTTTTCTGACTCGGCAAGAGGTAAGGCACACATGCTTTATGGAGCCGTGGGGATGGTTTGTGGTTTGCTCCTTTCCAGGTTCTGCAAACACGCTATATTTCCTTTTAAAGGCCATATAATGAAGTTTCTTTCAGCGTAGACTCTCCCTCCACCCTTAGTGCATGGACGCACGCCCACAAACATGCACGCGCTCCCCGCTGCGATTTGTCAGTGCGTACCGTGGGCGTCGTGATATTGGATGGGGTTGCTGTCACTTTGTTGGCGAGTTCTGCGGTTCCAGGTGAGCTCTCCGGGGCTTTCCTCTTTGCTGTTGTTGTTTATGTGTAAAAATACACAGTTGGCTTCCAGGTTTCGGAGTAAGGTTAAAGGAAGACAATTGCATTCCTTTGTGGATCAGGAACGCCTCTCCCCTCGGTAATCCCTCCACACTCTGCCCTGTGTATTCCCAATAGCAAACTAAACAAACAAATCCATTAACTTCCCAAGTGACAGACAAACGACAGTTCTCAACAGCTAGCGCACATTTTAACACTGGGTCTCCACCAGTTGATCAGATTTCAATAAACAGGGTACCCTTCCAGTGGTAGATTGAAAAACATCGACCTTGGATTGAAGGGGGGAGAGGTTTTTTAGAAGAAGATAATTTAACACAAGATGAAGGAATGCCTCTTCTACTTCAGCAGTAGCTTATACTGTGCTTTGCAGGGCTGTTGAGTTAGCCTTGGAAAATCTGAACCCCTCCTTCAACCTTACTGGTTCCCTACTGGCTGCAAAGCTGCCTTGTTCCCCAACTACGGTTATATGATTTCAGGATGTCGAGTTTACAGGTGGGAGAATGGTGCCGAAATTGCACAAATCGCTGGAAGACATTTGGCTCATCCACACAAGAATATGCATTGCTTAGTTTACAATTTAAATATTTGATCTTGCAATTAGTTCTGGTAGCCATAACTTGCCAAAAGCATACGTGGGATGAAGGGGAGGGAACATTACTAGAGAAACTCAGGACTTGGTTAATGGATTGCTTTTTTTTGGCATTGATTCTCAAGCAAATATTTTATGGAGGCAGAAGCCCTGTAAAATGATTCTGTTGGAAGCTGAATGAAAAGGAAAACAGCATATATCCTTTAAGATCTGGAAGTCTGAATTCCAGGTGTGGCTTGCAATGGGAGATTCGGTTTTAAATTGTAGGTAGTGGCCAGCAATGTATGAATTAAGATGATCACCTGAATGTACGTGATTTGAATACGCCAGAATACCCAGTGGAGATCAGTGAAAAATCTTGAGTGGGTATTGGCCTACAAAATGATTTTTGTTTGAACAGCACTTCCTGCCTTGGTGGTAAATCTCCTTTAATTTTGGTTTACTTTTGTCCTGCTTGCATTATTTTTTGGCATGCATAAAATAGAGTATGCTACATTACAGACTTCAAGTGCTACGAAGCGTTGTTTTGTATGGAAGCAACCAAATATTAACAGTTATTAGTTCAAAACAGGTGATGTTTTCCTGCCCCTTACCTGAAGAGGTGACAGAGCATAAATGTTGCAGCGTCACTTTAGTAGTGTAGTTAATGAACTCTCTATTGCTCCAGAAAAATCGGTCTGAGAAATTATGAGAGAGGTTTCTGATTATTTCAACAGGTGAAAAATGGGGTATAAGCAGAGGAAAACAACTTAACACACTTGTTTTCTGAGGTGGAGGAAGCCAATAAAGAGGTTTAAAAAAAAAAAGGGGGGGCAAATGGGTAACACCTTTAAATCCTGTTTCTCTTCCCTCTGAAATTGGGATTTTTTTTGCTAGTGACTGGAATTGAAGTGGCATCGAAACGTGAGAGAGAGAAATGCCTAATGCATTAAAACTTTCATCTGTGCTGTACAATTCCTGTTATTTTAAATAACTTGGGATAATTTTTAGACTCTTCTTGAAATGTGTCCAATTTCTAACACGCGTCTGTGATTTTTGTAGTATCATTATGCTGGGTTAGATGGCTGAAAATATATAAATGTTACCTGTAATAGTCATTAAGGGTTATAGCCAATTGGACCGAGATGGAGTTTTTCTTTGGGCTGGGGGAGGTGGGGGCTGTTCGGCATTCAGTACGTGTCACGATCACAGATGTTACGCGCATGGCTCATATCACGGTTAGTGTTTTCCAGCTAGAGCCGCTGAAAGTTAAATAAGTGCCTGTTGGCTTAACATGGAGTTAAGTGCCTCAGTATAGGCATCCGAACTTGAAAATGTTGACCCATTTCTTTTTCGTGTGCCAAGAGGAGATTAGATAAAAACATAATGGTATTACCATGCTAACACAAAGGTTCAACATTGCCTGCTTGGTGATCGGAGGCACTGTATCCTAATGTATTTGCACCAGGGGGCAGAGTTAAGTTGCCCGTGCAGCTGTAACATCAATAGCTTCTGACTAGAGTGGTAGCTGCAGCCTAGCATGTTGAATTAAGTTCAATATGCTGTTATTTTACCTTTCAAGGTGGAGGGCCCCAATGGCTAGTGTGTCCCTAGGCTAATAATGTTAGTCTTTATTCTTAACGCATCCGGGAGTTTTGCTGGTGGGAGGCATAGACTGGCCCTACACTCTTCCTGCACTGTTGAAATAATGTCATCTGTAAGGTATGGGGTTGCAACCACTTAACGTTTGGCTAAAGAAATCAGGGTAAACCTGAACTCTTAGGAAAAGTGCTATGGGATTTGTAACTCCCGTGAAGGGCAGAGGAGCTACTCGTCCAGCAGAGACCTTTTGGGTGGGTGTCATTTTGTCCATTTGGAAGGATGAAGGACCGGAACCTGGTAGTAAAGATTTGAACCCGAACTTTAAGGCCTCTGAGTTTAAAGCCCTTCGCTAATAGCTTGGGAATTTACTGAAATAGCTCTTTCAAAATAGCTAGTCCAGAATAACCTCCTGTGTGGCTACTTGTGTTCCAGAATAGGCACCTCAGCTTGGAGAGTTTATACCAGAATAATTATTTGACAGTAGCTATATTACTGCATTTCCAAGCATAGTCAAGTCCCTCGCCTTTTCCTTTCCTTTTTGTCATAAGGAACAGGGATGTTTCCTATGCACAAAATCCGACCTCGATGCAGAAAGCTTAACTATTCTGGTTCTTTGCAGGTAGCATGCAGAGGAATGGGAAGGTAACATCCCAGTATAGGGCCAAAGTATAAAATAGCAGCTTCAGCTCTTTGTCCCAGTTGTGTTGGGGGTTATGTTTGCTAGTTAACTGGCTAGGGTGGGAGCCACAGGATCTGCATTATGTCCTGTTCCCTTCATGGCTTGTATCTGTCTGCAAAGACTCAGCGTAGACACCTCTTTGCAGCTCGCTGCTCCATCCTCCTCCTCACTGTGCAGTCTCTATGCTGGCGTAAGCACTGCTGAGAGTCTTGTACTGGCTCTTCTCCCTTGGGGTGAATTCCACGCCGTGTTACTAACCTTTAGTGAAATGTAGCAATGTAACTCCTACTTCTCCACACCTCCGGTTGGATGCAGGTAGTGCAATCTGATCTTTTCCTGCATATGGTATCTCTGTAACACACAGGGCAATATTTGTTCCAAACCTGTCAACTTGCCATCGTATTCGCCTTGCTTACTGTATATGGTAACAGAAGGGTGCACTTGGCTTGCTACAGTAGTTCAAACAGGATTTCAAATAGTATGTTTAGAAGTTTTTGGTAAGAGCAGCAACAGCTTGTCTGTTAGCCAGTAAACTGATATTCTACTTGAAACTAATGAGTTTGGACATCATTTTCATTTTCAGGACATGGGAGCTTAATTGCTTTCAGCTATAACTCCTTTTTATGTAATACGTGGTTTAAAAATATAGCTTTCACTGAGGCGTGACTTAACAATAAATCTACCCCTCCTGTCATCTAACTGGGGCAACCTCAAACATCAGTAGATTGGTGCAGTTATGTATTACAAGCAGTTATTTGCCACATTTGCTTTTCTTTAAAAGTTAGAACTTTGGCTCCTTAAAAACTTTATTTTGGAGATGATTGGGTCTTAATGCGGGTTAGTGCATTTGTCATTATGTAAACAAATGCCGTATAAAGAACAAGCAGTAGTTAATACCGAAGGTATAATACTGAAACAAAGAGTTGCTTTCTGTGTTAAAGATGCTTCTGTTATGGCTTATTAATTACAACCATGTATAGTTACTTGGTCGTCATCTCTTTCTAATGGGGGAAGAAAAGCATGTAGGAACTGATTCAAGATTCACTGAAACTAATAGGAATCCTTTAACTGACTTTGGGCTTTGAATTGGGTTCACATGAGAAATCTGACAGCGCAGAATATACCTGCTTTATATTGGATCACCAGAGAAACTGTGATAATTTTTCAGCCTACATTCTGTTGTCATTCAGCTTAATATTTTTGTTGAATTTAAATACAAAATAAAGCATGCGATATGCAGGAAAATAACCTATTGCTTATTGATGCTGTCAGACTTGGACATTCATTTGTGTTAGATTTATTTTAAGGTTTGATTTATTTTCTAAATGTCTTTATCTTCCTGGGTTTTCACTAAAAAGGGCCTTGCAATGCAGGTTGATGCATGGGAAAGTACATTTTAAATTCTGCCTTTTCAGTGTAGAAGGCTGTATGCCTCGGGATCATTTTACTGCTTCTAAGTTAATGGTTCTTCTTGGAAAGAGAGTCATTCTCCAAGTGGCACTTGCCAATTAGTGAGTATCCACATTTAAAGGTGTGAGAGTGTTTGCATGAATTTAGAAACGAGAGACCCAAATTCTCATCTGGTATCAACTGGCCCATGGAGCTGATCTACATCGGCTGCAGAGTCGGTCCACAATAACTTTTTCCAAGCAGCCAGCATGCTCAGTGTGGTAAACCAGGACTGTACAAAAGCCACTGTCTATTTAATAGTCATGATAAAATATGGTAAATGGGGTAGAGATACTCACTCCCTGGTTTAGTAATATATTTTGTGTTAACTACTGGGAAGGGGTAAATCATTTGCACCCAAGTTAAAGGAAACATAACACAAAGGTC